GTTACAACAGAGAGAAGAGGTGAGATGGAATATCAATGCCTTGATTGGTTACATACCTCGCTCACGCATGTGCAGTTCATTTTTATCCACGCTGACATCAAAGGTGCCGACAGAGAGTTGCACTACTGTATATACCAAGAAGACTAGAACTAAGGAGGATCAACTCGCGTGGTGGGGGTGAGTCAAAAAACGTCCGCGGCTATTCACACGATGTGCAGCGGCACTGCGCATTGTGTGAAAGTTCGATATAAGAGCGACAAAGTGACGATTATAGAACGATAGAGCGACAACTATATAGAGCGACAGAGAGGACTAATGAAGCGCAAGAGTGGGGGAAGTTATCCGTCGCCACTTTTTGCCTCACCCCCACTACCGCTATTGGCACGAGTTGATCTTCCTTAGTTCTAGTCTTCTTGATGCGCATAATTCCTGCGCGCAGGACATGAGCGTTCCGCAAAGCGCATCATTGCTCCATCATTTTACCATGGCTATAACCTATATTATCACCTAACCTAAGATTTGTTAAGTATTGAAGATCGAGAATTAACTATTTTTTTATCGTTTATTATTGTCATTGCCTTTTTTGTCGTTGGTGTCTTCATCGTCGTCATAATAAATCACGATTTTGAAATGGATAAATTAATATATAATCTTATTGAAGATAGTGAAGAAAGTAGTGATGCATTAGAATGCGTACAAAATGGAAATATTGATGCACAGCTAAAGCAAAACGTAATATGATAATGAACAATTTGCAAATGCGATTTTAATTCCTTGTGCTTGAATCTATGCTATTAACCAAATATTAATAGAAATTTTTTATCGTCACAGTTTTTTTTTTAATCTCTAGTTAAAAGATAATTGTTTGGAAAGATCTTTGTATATTTTGTAATATTAAAGGAGAATGTGAAATTAGATTATTAAGTTAAAAACATCTGGCAATATGAAAAGAAACTTTATTGAAACATAAACATCATTGTTTTACTTTTCTACACCCTTTTTCCTAGATACATTGACTTTTTTTATTCTAACAATTTTTGGTAAAAAATTTAAATACTTTAAGTATAATAGAACAGCATTTATTAATTCAATATCACACTTGAATATCACTATTATACATTTACACTTACATATGTAGTATAAATTAAGTATGAATCTCTGTAGTATGTTGTAGTCTTTAATAAACTTAAATTCAAAACTTATATTTTAAAGTATAGACAGTTCTTTATGTAACAAATATAAAATAAAAAAAATTCAAAACTTATATTTTAAAGTATACTGAGTTTTTCTATGTAACATATATAAAATAAAAAAGTTCTTCTAAGAGAACTTTTCTTTTTCTTTTGAGCACTTTAGAAAGAGTTGGTGATGATGATAATGATGTTGAACTGGAAGATGATTGACTTGGACCAGCTTCTGAAGCCAAACATTTTGGAGAAATCCATGCTCGATTGCCAAAAATATCATCCATAACCTATTAAAAAATATATTGATAAATTAATATCATTTTCAATTTACTTTTAATAAAATCATGATTTTTCGAAAATACCTCGTAAAATGACCAATTTTTTCTATTATTTCCGAATTTATTATTGTGGTCTTTAATATTTTTATAAGTACGTTTTAAACAAGCAATCTTATTGCTGCACTGCATTGCGGTCTTTTGTAGCTTAGGATTAATGTTATTTATTTCTTTGGCAACAGTTTCCCAAAATTGTCCTTTCAATCGTCCTGTTTTTAAGTTATAATACTTTCCTTCTCTTTGTATATTGTCAAAAGAAGACGAGTGTCATTCGGCGCCCAAAACGAAATTCTTTTTTCTGTAGAAACATTTTTATAAATTGTATTATAATGCATACAAAGATTAGTAATAACATAAAGTTTTTATAAGCATAAAACTTTATCGTACCTTCATTGTGATAATTGTTCTTCATTTTCCTTTAATTCACAAGCAGTTTGTGTTAAATTATTACTTTCATTAGCTGCTTCAGCTGCTTGCATATTTAATTTATTTAATTCTTTGCTTGTTATTTCTTGTAAATAAGCATGATCTGAAGAAATAAAATAGAATGAAAACTTTTGTATAATTTAAGAAAAATATAAGTCAATTGCGCCTGTATGAGCCTCGGCAGTTATAGTTCATAAATAATATACTTATAAAGCAATAAAATATAATTCGCGAACAACTAGAATAATATGTACTTTGTAACTAAATTAATTACAAATATTTCAACTCTATATATATAAATAAGTTATTGACTTTTATATGCCCTATTATTATATTTATATATTATTATCAAGAGTCCTTTATTATTATTGTTAATATTTCAACTCT